AGCCACCACCCCGTGTTTTCTACGTGAGAGGCAGGAAGGAAGCATGCAGGGGGAAGCAGAGCGAGGAAAGGAAACAGGAGGTATGCAGGATGAAGAGAAGGGAAAAGGAGCCCACTGGAGAACAGGAAGTAGAAAGAGGAAGAAGAAGCCACCAGAGAAGAGGAAGGAAGTGGAGAAAGAGGCAAGGAAAGACGGGGAGGCCTGGCAGGAATAAGAAGGAAGTAGAGAGAGGCAGGGAAGGAGGACCCACCAGAGTACGGCAGGGGACTAGTAACAGGAGGGAGAAGCAGGTGAGGCCCCCAGAGAGCAGGAAGAGATAGAGAGACGAAGGAAGCGGCAGGAGCCACCCACCATAGCACGCTTGGTCACACCAAAGAGCTCCCTCCTCACAGAGCGGCCACAGGACACCAGTCGCAGGCAGAGTGGATGCAGTTGGCCAGCTGCTTCTCACCTGACCACCAGAAGCAGCCCACCTTGCTAGCATTCAGCCTGGAGTCCTACCTTATGAAGTGGGAATGAGCTCGCATAAGGCTGGTTTGGGGAAAGGTAAAGAGCTCTCTCAGAACCAGGCAGGGGGACCTCTAAGCACACGGAGGTGACCATGGACAGGGCCACCAGCTCAGCTGCTTGGCAACCAGGCAAATGATCAGAGTTACAGAAGAAACAGACCTCGTGACCGCCCTTACCAGATACCTCGGATCCACCTGGGCCCCTGCCCGTGTCCCTCAAATAGGGGCTGACATTCTAACCCCTGCCCTGCAGATGTCGTCTCATGCAATGTGATGTAATCATCTTCCATAATGCAGTCTAACCTCGCTCATCTGGTGTGGTCCTCACAGGGTAGGGTGGGTCCCACACCTAATCACTCTGACTTACGTAAATTGATGCACGGACCCAGAGACGTGAGCACCACACTGGGGAAGACAGGTAACCTGCGAGGCTCATCTACCAGCCAAGGAGCCGAGGGCTGCCCAGGGCTACCTGTGAGGAAGGAACCCACGCAGGGAAGACCCTGATATGGACCTTTCGCTTCCAGAACTACGGGGAAGCAAATTTCCGTCATTCGGCCGACAGCATGAACACTGACACCATGGTCCCTTAGGACAAAGGGGCAGCTTTTCCCAGAAGGCAGGAAGGGGTAAGCGAGATGGAGGACTGGAAATGGGAAAGCCAGGCAGGAGGCAGGAAGAGCCCGACATTGCAATCTGTATATCCAGCAGAGTGTGTAGGAATCATTGCACGGAAAACCGGGTTGCTCCATAAACTTTCACCCAATGCACGATCAGTAAATGAAGCCACCCTCTTGCGGTATTTCCGTTACAGCAGCGCCCAGAAACTAAGACCCAAGAGAAGAGTTTACCTCCAGGGTTATCATCTCCCGAGGGAGAGGGGTCTGGGGATACTTCTCAGGCACTTGGATCGCAACCTCATTTGTCATCTCATCTTCCAGAAAACCTGAGGGATAAAACCCCACCAGATAGCCCGAGATGACTGGGGTACTCCAAGCCTCAGCAACGGGGCCAACCAGACAGGGCAGGTGAATTGCAGTCGGACAGGGGCCTGGATGGCCTGAGGCCCCAGCACCGGGGTCCCACCCCCAAGCTCCCCACAATGGTGATCCTCTCTGGAGACCCTTTCCTCCCTGCCCGAGGGCCAATGGCTTACGCAGGATTCTCTCCAGCGATTCGCACCTTCGGACTTCATTCACAAATTTCCTCTGGAAGCTGTTCACGTTCATGTTCAGCTAAGGGGGGAAGGGAAAACCCACGAGGCACACTGAGTGGCGACAGCAGCCAACACAGGCCCCTGGGTTCGTGGGGTAACTAAAGGCTGAGAAGGTTGGTGGAAACACACACAAAGCAGGTGGATCCCAAGCTGACCACACAGCAGGGAGTCCTCACACTCAGTCTCCCGGTGACTGCTCTGGATTTCTTCACAGCAGAGACAAAGACACTTCCCTCCCCTCCCAGGCTTCCGTCTAGCACATTTGCTCTCCAGAGGGGTTCACGAAGTCCCCAGTGGAGCCATGAATGTGGCAAGACATTCAAGGTGGCTCCGCCAGCCATGACAAGGCGGTGCTCCTGTGGGAGTGACCCTCAGGCCAGCACTCCTCAGAGACCTGCCAGCATCAGGCCCTGTGCTAGGAGCTGGTAGAAAGGCTTTGATTTTTTTTAGCTTTGATTTTTAATTATTTTATTGAAGGCTCTTACAGGTCTTGTAACAATCCATACATCAATTGTATCGAGCACATTTGTACATAGGTGGCCATCATTATTTTCTAGACATTTACTTTCTATTGAGCCCTTGCTGTCAGCTCCTTCCCCCCCCCCCCACGCCTCCTCCATCGCCCCCACGTGTCCCCTTGAGAAATTATAAATTATTATGATTTTCATATCTTACACCAACCGCTATCTCCCTTCCCCCACGGTTCCTGTTGTTTGTCCCCCTGGTAGTGGTGGTGGTGGGGTGGTAGTTATGTGTCAATCCCCTCCACTCCCCACCTTCCCCCTGCCCTCCTGGTATCGCTACTCCCATTCCTGTTCTTGGATTCCATGTGTCGTGAGCGCTCATGTCTTATCTGTACCTGTGCACATGCTTAGGTCTAGCCCACAGTGGAAGGCAGGACCGGGGTCATGGTGGGGGGAGGGGGGAGGACGCCTCGAGGAACCAGAGGAGTTTCATCAGTGCTTTACTGCACCCTGGTTGACTCATCCCTTCCCTGTGCACCCTCTGTGAGGGGATGTCCCCTTGTCTACAGATGGGCTTTGGGTCTTCGACTTTGACTTTCAAGAGGATGGAAGAGTTGTCAAAGCTCAACTCACTGAGAGTCGAGAGACTCTCAGGCAAGATCCTCAGAGGGACCTCCGGCTGGTATTGCGCTCAGACTGGAATGTCCATCTGGAGCTTGGTCCTGTCGACAGCCACTGTGACTTCCAGGAGACAGTCAGGGGTCTGGGCAAGGTCTGGTGATTCACGTGCCCAGGGCAATGTTCTGAAGATGCATAAGGACAGTAAAATGAGCCGACACCAACCCAGCGACCCTGCGGGGGAGCTCCATTAGGGCTTCGAAACTTTCCTGGGGAGGTCAGAACAGATTGAGGAATGGCTGACCCAATGCCATCGTGAACTCCACCCAGAAGGAGGCTGCTCCTGCCCCTTACCTTTGGGACCCCTCGGACTCACGGTGAACCTTAGACGAGAGAATGGAATGAAGCCCAGCCGTGCGCCGTGCCCACCGTCAGTGTGGCAGGCCTTCTCCCCGAGGGAGCCCAGCACCCAGCACCATATCCAACAGTATTCTCTATGATCTACTGGGTCTCCCTCGCCAAGCAGTTGGCCAGACGCACCTTCCTAGTCTGTCTCTGTCTGGACGCCCCACGGGACCATGGGTGACTCCGATGGTAGTTGAAATACTGGAGGTACAGCTTCCAGTATCAAGCATCCCTCCAGCCACCACAGTACCACAGGCTGACCTGAGGGTGGTGGAGCCAGGACCAGAGCCGTGGCATCCCACCTCTTCCCACTCAGGACCCCCTCACCCTGCAGCCTGACCTTGGTTCCCCACAAAGGGCTATCTCGAAAGCGTTAGCGGTGGCGGCCCCCACCCTCCCCGCCGCTGGTCTCCAGAAAGCCAGGACCTACGTCCTTAAACTGAACCAAGTCCAGCTCTCCGAGCTCGGCCACACAGCAGTACGCAGCCTCCACTTGCAGAAAGAGCTGAGACAAGCACATCTCCTCACTTCGAAACACAGACGCCATCTCGGCCCAGCCTCAGTCTGCAGGGGGGAGAGAGAGAGAGAGAGAGACCTGGGGTTAAAAATGCGGGGAAGCCTTAGGGCTAAACTTTCCTTTCTTGGGGTTCAATTGAACCCCAACAGGAATCACTGTTCGTTGACGACATTTAAACAAGACAGCATTTTCCACCATTTGTTGGTTCGACAAAGCACATTTGACTTTTTCATCAATCATTTTATTGGGGGGCTCTTACAGATCTTATAACAATCCATCATCCAATTGTATCAAGAACACCTGGACATATGTTTATTTCATCATCATTTCCAAAACAATTTCTTTCTACTTGAGTGCCTTGGTGTCAGCTCCTCACATGTTTAACATATGACGGACGGCTCGCTTTTGAAGGGTGTGAGGAAGCAGGCCCTTTCACACGCTGGTGGTCGATGCCAACCCTTTTGGAAGGCAGGCAATTTGTCAACACCTTTCACCTTTTGTATTTCTCGTGCTCTTGACCCTGGAAACCCCCCCACACACCTACCTTCAACTTACCCAGATGAACCTAGATATCTGTGGGAAAAGAGACGCTCAAACACAGTTCTTATGATACATAAACCAGAAAAGCCAAACCCCACTGCTGTCCAGTGGGCTCGGACCCTTGGTGCCCCACTGTGTGCCAGAGCAGAACTGGGCACCGGAGGGGTTTCAGTGGCTGGTTCTTCAGAAGGAGACTCAACCAACTCACTGCCATCGAGTCAGTACTGACTGGTGGCAACCCTCTAGGACAGGGTAGAACAGGGAGTTGAAAGGGAGTAGAAAGCCTCATCTTTCCCCTGAGGAGCAGCGGGTGGTTTGGAACTACCGACCTTGCCGTTAACAGCCCAATGAGTAACCACCACACCCCAAGTTTTTTCTTCTGAGATGCTTCTGGTTGGACTTGAACCCACAACCTTTCAAGTGGCAGCCAAACTCATGAACCACTCAGCCATCTTGCCTGGAGAAGACATGCGCTGTACTTCAAGCTGGCCCTGCACAGCAGTTCGACGGAACTACGTCCTCCTGTCTTCCCTGTGGACAGGCCCTGTGAATCAGATCTCCCAAGCACCACCTGTGGGGCACAGCCCCACCTGCATTCCAAAGTCTCACACCTGCACTTGCCATGACACAGCTAAGACACACACTCAGGGCTGGGGGCTGTGGTCACAGATGCAAAATAAACAGCCCAGCAGATGCGGGCTCAAGGCTTAACCTCAGAGCTGAGGGAAGACGCGCAAAGCTGCCCAGCCATCGACAGCTCGATGACAATCTACAGTGGCAGGGAGCTGAGCTGAGACTACGCATCTCCCAGAATCCCATCTGTCACCAGGCCGTCCCCCACATTGGACTGCCTCTGAGTCTGCTAGAACCAAAGGCGGGGGAGCAGACCAGCCAGTGAAACTCAAGACCTCCTGAATCCAAGAGAAGGTGGAAGCTACAGACTCCCCTCCTAACCCCCCCACCCCCCCACAAAAAAAGCCACAACTCAGTACCACTAAGTCAATGCCAATTCATCAGGACCCTCCAGGACAGGGTGGACCCACCCCTGTGGATTCCCAAGACTTAACTCTTGCCGGGTATAGGAAGTTCCCTCTCTCTCCCGAAAAAGTGCTGGTGGTTTTGAACTGCTGACCTTTCAGATCACAGCCCAATGGGTAATCCATTGTGCCACCAAGGCTGACCCTCTTGGGCTCCCCACTAGGGCCCAAGGAGTTTTCCTGAAGCTCAACCATCTCAAAGCACCACACCACCAGAGGGACCCTCTCCCAGTGGCTGAAGACCTTCAAGTGCCCCCGTTTCCCTCAGGAGTCTCAAACCCTTGGCCAGAGAGGTGCATGCGGCCCATCTCTCCTCCCCCCCCCCCCCCGCCCCCCCCCAGTCACACTGTCTCCCTCACTTCCATCCCCTGAGAACCTCCCCCTCCCACACACTTCAGTCCCAGGACCCTCTTCCTCAGACAAAACCTTTCCTGACCAGCCCACCCTGTAAATGAAGCCTATGGGTTCCATCTCAGAGAAAGATTGCACTAGACACTCCCAGTCTAGAGACTTCTAGTCTCTGAAACCCACAGGGCAGTTCTACCCTGTCCCCTGCGGTGGCTCGGAGTCAGAACTGACTTCAGAACTGACTCCTAGGCAGTGAGTTTGGTTTTTGGCTTGTACTGGCTCCACATTCCTGAGTGGCACAAACGCTGAGCCCCTAGCTGCTGGGGTGAGGTGGGCGGCTCCCGTTCACCCCTGGGCACCATGCAGATAGGCCTGGCCAGCTGTCGATACAGGCAGGAAAACCAGAAGGGCTGCTTGGATGTACACGTGGGCTGCCATGCATTCGAATCTAGGTAGCCATAACTGGTTGATGTTCGGGCTTGGGCCTCTCTGCCCCCAAGAGCCCACTAGATGGTAACCCCCCTTCTACTGCAGAAACTCCCTCCTGTGTTTCCGGGGAGCTCCACTTTGAGCCCCAAGCTGGCTCACTGCCCGGGCCAACAGCATCCCTGTTTGCCGGTGACAGTGAGATGAATCAAAACCCAGACGGCCTCGCGGATAAATAAGGCAGCGTTTCATTGCACAGACCCTTCCCACAACACCAAAGCCCCTACTTACCGGCCTGGGCCAGCAGCTCCCAGGACTGAGCCCCTGCGCTTCTCCAGCAGAAAGTCTCTCCCTCCAAGTGGCTAGCTGGTGGCACAGGGCCAGAGGTGAGTTTCAAGGTAGCCTCCCAGCTCTAGCCCTGGGCCTTTCCCGCCCAGTGTGGACCCAGCCTCTGTTTTATCAACAGCTGCCTGTTGTGGCTGAGGACAAGCCCTGCCCGCCCAGACTCCCCAGCACACAGTCACTCACTGCCCCAGGAGCTAGGGGCCTGGGAGTGTCCTGGTGAGGCTTCCAATGCACCTACAAAGAAAGGAACTTTGTCTGAATGCAGCTCACACTCAAGCCCACCGCCATCAGGTCGATGCAAACTCACAGACACCCCCGTGGGTTTCCAGTGAGACTCTAACTGTTGGCAGGAGTAGAAAGCCCAGCCTTTCTCCCGAGGAGCTGGTGGAGGAGGATCTCAGCCCAGTGGGTAACCACTACACCTCCAGGGTTCCCACCCCTTGCTTTAAAAGGAAGGGAGTAGACCATCTGGCTGGAGGTCACATAGGTGGCAATGGCAGGGCTGGAGCAGAAGGTGTAGGGACTGCCCACTCCCCACCCCCCACCCCCAGCACAGCTCACCATCACTGCCTGTTTCTAGCTCATTGTGTCTCAGGGCCTCTTTGTGTTAATCCAAAAATAAAACCCACCGCCACCGAGTCCATTCCGACTCACAGCGACCCCAGAGGAATTTCCGAGATTGTAACTCCCCTTCCCCATCTTTCCCCCCTGGAGCGGCTGGTGGTTTAGAACCTCCAACCTTGCAGATTGCAACCTCATAGCAACCACAGCACCAGGGAAGCTTCTATAGCACAACGCTGGGAGAGGAGGAAGGAACATGCATCCTCAGGGTCTCCTCCTCGCCACTCTTCCCACAAGCGCTCTGATTTCGCAGGACTTGACAGAATGGTGGGAAAGCTGGAAGGCTGGAGCCAGGCTCCACTGACTCAATTGTCGTCTGGGGCTGATCCCGACCCTCCGGTGACTTTGCCCCACTCCCAAGGACTCTAACAGTGGGTCAGTGGCTGAATCACCTCACTTTCCACATGGGAGACCGGGTTCAATCCCCGGCCAGGGCACCTGGTGCACAGCCAGTCTAGTTTGTGTGTGCAGCTAGGGTGCTGAACGAGTCTCGGCAGAGCTTCCAGACTGAGACAACAGGAAGAAAAGTCTGGAGGTCGACTTCTGACAATTATCCCATGAGACTCTGTGGGTCCCCATGGCTCCCTCCCTTGTGTGCAGGGTCCCCTTAAGTAAGAGGCCTGCTTCGCACAAGCAAGGACTGCAGCAGCCCCTCCCTTATGCAGGACAAAGATCTTTCCCACGCATTTGCGAGGAGGGTGGAGAGAAGAGAGGCCCTGCCCCGTCCCCATTGGCCAAGCAGTTTCTCCAGGTGAATTGTGCTGGTGCCCTGCCCACTCACTGGGGGTGCTATAGGTAAACCCCAGAAGGAGGGAGGGTACATTTAAATATAAGCAAAAGCACAGTGAATGGTATACAGAACCCGCACATACACCCCATCTGATTGAACAGGTGTGGTGTTTTTGCATTCTCTATACCCACACGACAGGAGAGAGATGAGGTGACATAACGGTCACTGCAAGGTCAGCAGTTCAAAACCACCAGCCACTCCTCTGGAGCAAGGTGAGGCTTTCCACTCCTGTGAAGAGTCACAGTCTTGGAAACACCACTCCAAAAAACAAACTCACTGCCATCGAGTCAAAGCTGCTTCATAGGGACCCTATGGGACAGGGTAGAACTGGCCCTGTGAGTTTCCAAGACTGTAACTCTTTACGGGTAGAAAGCCCCATCTTTCTCCCTCTGAGCAGCTGGTGGTTTTGAGCTGCTGGCCTTGCAGTTTTCAGCCCAGCTCCTAACCACTGTGCCACCAGGACCCCTTTGGAAAAACTCATAGGATTGTTATGAGCTGGGATGGACTCAAAGGCAGTGGGTTTTGAGTTCTTAAAGATGTCGAGTCTCAGAAACCCACAGGAGCAGTCCTACCCTGTCCTATAGACCTGCTGAGTCAGAATTGAGGGAGGTTGGGCCAGGAGATTTTTTTAGATGGTAGTTCCTTGATAACCTTACCTGTTTCTTCTTTTGCTTTGAGTCTGTTCAGGTTCTTGACATCTGTATGTGATGAGCTGTGTAGGGATTGTTTTTCTAAGTATTTGTCCATGTCTTCCAAGGTGTTGTATTCACTGGAGTGCAGACCTTCATGGTCCTGTGTAACGAATCTTTTCATTTCATTAGGGTCTGTTGCGATTGCCCCTGTTTCATCCCTCATCCTGACTATTGATGTTTGCGCCTGCCATTCTTTGGTTAGGTTTGCCAACGGTCTGTTGATTCTGTTAATCCTTTCAAGGAACCAG